GTGACGTTCATGAAATGCAACATAAGCGATTAAACGTTTTTGCAAACTCCAAGTTTTAACAAATTGATTATTAAAAATAATTTTTAAAATATACTACTAACTGTATTAAAAAAAATATTACTTATTTTAACAAATTGATTATTAAAAATAATTTTGAAAATATACTACTAACTGCACCCAATTGCCTAAAGGCCAACAGGCCTGACCTACAGGCCCAAGGATTGCAGAGGTCAAGCTGCGCCCAACAGATGGAAAAAAAAAAAGCAAGAAAGAGGCTTTTGATTTGATTGTACGTACATTTTGTAATACGTCCAAATCAGGCCCGCAGGTGTACCAACACTAGGCTCGTACTTTTTGTCGGATACGTGGCATCACCCCGTGGCCCCTTCCCTACTGTTGTGTCACAGTCACTAGTTAATACCAAGCCTAACCCAAACATACTGGAATTTATTATATTCCTTGTATTTTCTGGATTCCCAAAATTATCTCTACTGTTTTATTAAATTTATTTAAAAGTATAAATGAAGTTGTACTGAAAATAAACATATTAAAAACTTAAAAAAAAAAAATATTTTTATTTTTCAAATTAAATCAAGTAAAGGAAATTTAAACTGGGACAAAGTGCTAAAGGTGTGATTGACTGAACAAATAATTATTTTTTAATTAGTTAACTCAAATTTAATTCAACCAAACTCTTAGGGTATGCTTCGATATAATTTTTTCTTTTTTTTTGGATTTTTTGGTGTGTTTTGATTAATTTGGAAAAAAATGATATGATTAGTCGTTAGTGGGGATATTAAAATAATATTTAAAATAAAATAATTAAAGATGATTTGATGTAAAAGTAGAAAAGAGATGATTTAAAGTGATGGTTAGTTAAAATTATATGAGTAGATGAATAGTGAATTAAAATTGATGTGGTGTGTAAGAATAATTGGTTGATATTATTTAATTATATTGATAAAATTGATGATAATTAAGTTGAGTTAAAAAAGTAGTTGAGTTAAAAATATTTGGATTTTTTTGAGTTAGATTTGTATCCAAGCATCCTCTTATTAATTTAATTAAATAATATCAACCAATCATTTTCAAACATCACATAAACTTTAAATTACTGTATATATCATATTCAATAACATCTATGCTACTAAGCATTATTTAAATATAGATTCAAAATATTACTTAATTCTTTAATCTAATCGATTTTATTTATGGCCTTGTTTGGCGATCAGCGGATAGCAGATAGCGGATTGTATTAGCGGATAGCTGATAGCGGATTATATTAGCTGATTTGACCAGCGGAATGCATTAGCGATTTTCAAATAAGTGTTTGGTAAATAGCTGAAAGCTTATAGCTGTTTGACATTGCAAATTACCAATAAAGATATTTTATTATTTAAGGTGTATTCTTTTAATAATAATATATTAAAATATTTAATATTATTTAGTTGGTAATTTATAAATATATTATTTTTTTAAAATTTACTAACACTTGATTAAGAAGTTATGAATTTTATATTTTTCTAGATAAATTAATCATATGAATGACATATTATTATTTATTAGCACCATAAACCAATGTAGATTGGAAAATAAATAATACAAATTAAAAAGTTCCAAATTAAAATAGTAGATTATGAATCCTCTATCCCCAAAAAGCTCCTCTAATGAGCTTTTTCTAAATTAGAGTTTTGGACTCAAAAAGCTTATCAAATAATCTATTTACCAAACATGCTCAATAGCGAATTTGACGGGTCAAACCTCTCAATTAAGTCCAATCCACTAATTTATCTTCGATCCGCTATCTTCCAAACGGGGCCTATATCCTTTTGCCTCCTAATCGTTTTTTCTTTCTTTCATTTTACCGTTGCTCCTTTTCTTTCTCTATAAAGAAAATCGATGGCATGTCTATACTTATCATTGGTTACACTATTGAGTTCCACACAATAATAAGATTCAAATAAATAGATCTAGAATATGTTTGGTAAACGAATAAGTTAGTTTATTGTTTATTTGATTGGCTTATAAACTTTCTTTATTTAAATAAACTACGTTCATTGAAATTCAAGTTTATTTCATAAGCTTCTTTGTGCAACTTTTCAAATTAGCTCGTAGAAATTTTTGTTTCAACTAGCTTATCAGCTAATTTTACCAAGCATTTTTATCATATATAACCTAATTTTTGAGCTATAAGTTGTAAGCTATATTCTATAAGTTCGAAAATTACTGATAAGCTATAAGCTAATTTTACCAAACATACACATAGTTTGAATCGACAGACTATTCTAGTATTCCTACAACTATATATATATAAACATGAATCTTACTACTATGAGTATAGATAAATTGTCTCACATCAAATTTATCTATTTGAATTAAATTGATGATAATAAGCTTCAATACTATTGCATTGTCCTAATTCATGATCCTGCATCAAACGACTCAGACCAATCATTGCAGCTTTTATTCATCATTCTGTACAACAACAATGTTCACCACAAAAACATATTTACCAATCAAAATACTAATTTAACTTTAGATTAATAAAAAATATGTACTCTTTAATCAATAAAATGGATTACAGCCTTATTATTTGTTGTTAAAAGTAAAACGGTAATTTACTCTCCATGACAAAATTATTGTAGTAATAAAAAAATAAGTGTGATGCTACGATTCCGTTACGAAACTATTTCGTCGAGATTTGTAACTGTTAGATCAATTATCCCCGTCGAGATGCCACGATCCTGTTACGAAACCATTCCGTCGAGATTTGTAACCGTTAGATTAATTATTTCCGACAGTTACATTATAATTTAACGGTTGCAAACCCTGACGGAATGGTTCCGGGTCCGTAGCATTTCCAAAAAAAAACTAAAACGGGTGGAAAACTTTTTACCCAGCGAATCAGACAGATTATGATACACTGGGAAAGGGAAACAATTAATAGGACTTTAATAAAGTCTAAAATCAGAGTAGATATAATTATCCAAAGCACCTGCTGGGCTGGCCCACATATAATATAATACTATAATAACTAATAGCCAGCAATGTAATTAATTTGGAATAAGTAAAATTAAAGAAATTAGAACAAAATTCTTATCCAATAGTGTTTATTTAATTAAAATAAAAAAGAAAAACAAAAATAATTATTTCGATACTTATCTAATCCTTACTATTCCTGTACATCCGGCTCAGATGATCTCTGCCGCTTGTTTTCTCGGTCGGCCTCCGAGCCGAATCCCGAGCCCGAAACCGAGGCTAGATTCTCGGCATGGGATTCACAGCTGGCACAAGCCGCCGCGTCAAGGACGCCAAGCGGACTCGGCGGGGCGACTGGCTCGATGCTCAGTACTTTGGATGGACACGCGTCGAAAAGGTATTCGTCCATGAGTTGAAGACAGCTCCTCACCATTTCCTGCCAAAAAAAAAGGTATGGATTATTTTAATTCTTTCCAATTTTTACCCCCAAGAAACTTAATAAATTCCCATTTACCACCCCAGCCCAAGGCCGCTTACCCTGCTTATCCTCGCATCGATGGCGTCGGGCAGGCTCACACCACCGCCGGCGGCCGCAATCACGGCGGCTGCGGCGATCACCGACGGTGGAAATCCGAGGAAATCTATCACTGATTGTGCAAAATATAATAAACGGCGTATCAAGCCTTGAAAAAAACTCGAAACTATTCGACATAAACAATCAATCGCAGATAATTATATACCACGGGTGGTCTTGAGGATAATACTGGAAGCGAGGCCATTAATGGCGGAAACTGAATCTAAGCCGGAGGCAGACGGCCGGAGCACGGAGACGAAGTAATGGAGGAAATCAAACGGAGTAACGGAGCGTAGATTCCACTTGAGCGTCGCCAGCACCAAAAGCTCCATTCTCTGCACCGTCTCCGGCGCGAAAACGTACGTCGGCTCAAGAGCTTGTAGCTCCAAAAGCAGCGGGACGCACGATTCCTCCATTTTCGCCGCCAGAGACAAACACGCCACCGTCAGAAGCTGAAATGCCCATCCGATTTCCTAAAACTCAAAAATAAAAAATAAAAATCCCTGCTAAAATTATTCTGAAAGTATCTGCAAGATAGAAAGGCTTACCGGCAGAGGACGAGAGGATAAAAATCGATCGAAGTAGCTGATGGAGAGAAAAGCAGTCACCGGTTTGAATCCAAAATGTGAATGAACCTTGGGCACAATTACCGATTGAAAGCTTGTTAAAACCATAACAGAGAAAATTAATGATGATAATATAGGGGGAAAATGCCGCCGCCGTACCTGGAGGATAGAGTTGATGGCGTCCTGGCGAGAAGTGCGGAGGCCGGAGCGGCTCCGGCAGAGACGGACGTAGTCGGGTCGGGGCGCGTGGCGGGGCTCCGAATCCAGCAGGCGGTCGACAAGCAAGGAATCGTCGGCAGATCCGGCGGCTAGTTGGGGAGAGGCGCGGTGGGACATGGCGAAGGAGAGAGGCGGGTCAGGGGCGGCGGGTGGGGGAGGAGGAGGGCCGCATTGGTGGAGGTGGGGAGAAGGGAATGGGTAGAAATAGGCATGGCCGGGCTATGGTTGGTGGAGCAATTGTGGTAAGGACATTTTTGGGTTCAAATAGTGAATTCTCTCTTTTTCTCTCTCACACAAATAAGTGCTTCTCTTCTCTGTGGGTGGAGCGAGTTTGGCCAAATGAGCAGCTGTATTAACTATCGAGTAATAGAGAAGAAGGAGATTTGATTTATAGATTGATTGCAGTCAATATTTACTAATTTGTGGACTCTCAACAATTAGATACTGTGTAGGGTATCGCGGATTTTCATTTAAACGTGGGGCCCGGGTCAGTTTTTTTTTTTTTTGGTACAGGGACCTTTCGGTTTTCGGATCCACAGGGGAACCGACTAATTCGAAATCGAGTTGGGTAGGACCACAAGGGCGGCAAAGCTCTCCCTCAAGAGTTTTAATACTGCTGCATTCCCAAGGCTCGAACACGAGACCACTGGTTAAGATGGAAGAGACCCAAGCCATCTCATCTAAGCGCTCTTGGGTTCACTTTTTTTTTTTTAGATAAAAATATTTCCGGCACACAAATGATGATGATATTACATGCAATCATATTTTTAATATATATATAATATAATGGGATATGATACGGTCTCTTACGGAATCATTCTGTCGAGATTTGTAATCGTTAGATTAATCTAACCGTTACAAAATCGGAGGAAGTGTTCTGTAAAAGTACGATAGCATCTCCCTATATGTTTATATATATTGTAAAAATATTATACTTTTTATTTATATTGTATAAAGTATGACAATTTATTAAGAAAATATATGTTTATTGAAACAATATAATCATGTTGTGACATGATTATAATTGAAAAGAAAAATGGTATCTAATATATTATATATAAATAGTATATACATATATATATATTTGATTATTTTTTAAATAGTAATTATTTCACTCAAAAAATATTTACTATTTCAGAAAATTAATTTAACAATTTAGGGTATATTTCAAATAGCCACTTATGAAAATTGCAGCTCATTACATAAGGAAATAATTAAATCATAAAAAATCATTTTGAAGAAACCTTAATTACTCGAATCATGTGAATTCGACTGATTTGACTAAATATAGGAATTTTGGCTGCAATATCAGTTATAAGAGTTGCTTAAAAAATTTTAACTAAATTGTATAATTTATTATTAAATAAGTGTTTTATATTTTTGTATAATTTTTTTATGAAATGCATTTTTAATATATCTTAACTACGCGATCCGACAGATTTATTCAATCTGCAAACAATTATGGAAATATCGACAATAATAATCAATTATGTGATTTGCAAATTTTTTTCTAAAATATTTTGTTAATGACAATTTTTATTTAAATATTATTTAATATATGTTATTCATTTTTTTGGGATTAATTACTCAAATAGTGGATAATTAAGAAAAAAATTAGACTGTAAAAATTTACATTTTTAAGATACCTTAATTACGCAGATCGTTTGAATTCAGTTGATTTGTTCAACTATATTTTTGTATAAAATTATTCCAAAATAATTGTGTTAATCGCAGTTTCTATTTAATTATTTTTAATAACTGTATTTTGGGTCTTTTATTTTTTATATATAAAAACATGGGTCTCGATTTTGTTTTGTACGCTGGACCATTAATTTTGTGGTAAAACCGAATATCTTTTTCGTATTTCATAGATAAAGTATGAAATCGAATTATTTGGTATACTATATATTGATCCAATATA